ATTAATTATTTACTTTATAGAAAATATTTATTTTTTTATTCGAGAAAATATTTGCTTTCTTATTGTTTTGGAAATAATAGAGTTTGAGAAAATTAATAAATGCACAATTTAGGTAAATATAACTTTCGAACATAAACCATCCATTTAATGTATAACAATTTTTAAATTATTAACAAATTAATAGAAATAAATTAACAATTAAAATTACATTTAAAATTAACATCAAACATATATTTTTACTCTTTTGTGAGTTTCATATTAACATAATTTCTTTAAAATACATAATTTTTTAATTAAATACATAATTTTTTTTTTAAATTAATACATAAACTTACTGACCTATTAAGTACATTGTACCAACATGTATAACAAATCAAAAATTTTAATCAATAAATTAAGGTTTACAATAAAATGAATTTTTTTTTTTCTTTATTACATATATATACTTTGTTACATAACAATTAAGTTTTTTTTTCATATTATTCTTTTCTTTAAATTGCCTAAAAATACATTTTTACAATAATAAAGGAGGTAGGAACAACATACAATTTAAATTCAACAAACGAAAAACAAAAAAAAACTTTATTCAATTTTCTTTTTTCATTTAATAATGACCTAACAATGATGATGTCCTTTAAAAACAAGAAAAAAATAATAAAAAATTCCTTTTTTAGAAAAAGAAAAGGAAAATTCAATAAAACAAAAGAAAACAAAAAAAAAGAAACAAAATATTAGTAGAATTTAAAAGAAAAGAAAAAAAATAAGGACAAGAAAAAAATTTTTCACAATTCATAAAAAATTGATTTTTTTTTTTCTATTTGATTCCAATTTTTGTTTCTCTATATTTTCAATTTTTCTTTTTCTAATTTTCGTTTTCTGTACATGTATGCAAATTAAAAAACTAAACAATTTTAAATTAGCAATATAAGAAGAAAAGTGTTTCAAATATCAAACAAAAGAAATACAAGGAATCATCAGAAATAAAAGAAAAATGAGAAAAATGGAAAAACAAATAATAGGAAATGAATTGAATAAAAAAAACAAAAAAGAATTTTTAACATAAAATAAAAATAATAGTTAACACAAAAAAAAAAAAATTATAAAATGAAAAACAAAAAAAAAAGATTGTTAAAAACTAGAGAAAAAATATTGAATTTTGAATGGAAAAAACAACAGAACGTGACGTCAAAAATTGAACAAATCAATTTCATTTTCAATTTTGCCGTTTTTATTTCATCCTTCTAAAACTACTAATCATAAACTCACCCAAGTACATAACAAATTTATAAATCTTAATAGTTAATAATATTTTTCATAAATATTATGAAAAATATTGGTAATAAAATTTTATCTCATTCTTAAATTTTTTCATGTTTTTTTAAAGATTTTTATTCCAAAAGACTAGGACATTATTTAAGATAAGGTCTTTGTTATTTAAAGTATAACCAAGTCAAAAATAAAAAAAAAAACAAAATTCAAGGAAAAACAAGTTAAAAAAATTAAAAAGAGTAACTAAAAATTACAACTTTAATAATATACAAGTGAAAAAAAAAAAAAACTAGATTATCCTGAAACATCCCTAATTTTAATATATATATATATATAGTTTTGTATCCTTTTTGTTCTTGTTTTGCCAATTTTACATAACAACCATTAGATTTATATTGGAAAAAAAATCAAAATCAAAATGAAACAAGAAACACAAAATCATCATCATTGATTCAAGTTCTTTTTTTTTTTTTGGATTTTTTTTTTTTGTTAAATACAAGAAATGAAATTAATGTGATAGTACTTTCAATTCAAATAGATAGAAAAATATAATATGTATGTAAGCAACTAGCACATATTATTATTTTTTTATTTTCTAGTTGTTTTTATTTTTTGTATTTTTTTGTTAAAGAGAAGAAAAATTCAAAATAAATCAGAAATAAATTTTTGAAATTGGAATATGTACACACACCACAATGTATACGTACATATATATATATATATATATATATGTTACCGTACCATGTTGTACGTGTACACATATTCAAAGAGCAAGGCACTCCAGATAACTCATATTCGAATTGAAATCATGATGAAAAAAAAAAAAAAAATATTAGAAAATTAAAAAATCAAATCTATTTTTTCTATTTTTTTTTTTGTTTGTTAGCAAGTTTCATTTCTCATTTTGTATTTTGATTTTTATCTTTTTGTTGTTTTTTTTTCGTTCCACTACTCTTCCTTTTTTTTTTTTTTTTGTATTTCTATTTTGAATTATTTTTTTTATTACTTTATGTTGCTGCTTTGTTGTTCTTGTTTTGCTTTCCATTTTTGTTTTAAGGCTTCCCTTATCCTTTTCATTTTTTACTGTTTTGCTTTTTCGTTTTTTTTTTTTTTGTTTTATAGTTATTTTGATTTTATGTTTATGCTTTTTTTTTTTGTTTTTTGCCAAATGCAGAATTCATTTTTGTATTTTTATGTTTTGTTATCCTTGCACGGGATACGAATAGCATATACAAAAACATCATATCCATCCAATCCCAATATAAAAATGAAACCGTCCCAAAAACGGATACGAGTTTTTATACTTTTCTATTTCTTGTTTTCTTCTTGTTTTTTTATGATTATGTTTTTCTCATTTTTTTTTTTCTCTCTGTATTTTGTATGTGTGTTATTTTGTTTTTGCCATTGCCATTGCCATCACATCAACATTATTTTTCTACCCTTCTTCTCTCCTTCTGTTATATATCTGTTATATAAAAAAAAAAAGTACATACGGTTTATACGGTTTGAATTTTAGCCGAAAGCCACCCTAAAAAAAAAAAAATTTAATACAGCATTTTTAACGTGTGTTTTTTCTCGTACTTTTTTTTTTTCGAAAAATTTTTTTCCCATATTTTTTTTGGTGTTGTTGTTCGTTTTGTGTTTTTAAAAAGAATAAAAGAGTGAGATGATAGCAAATGGACATAATTGGTATTTTTTTTTTTTAAATAAAATCCTACACAATCCTAAGTATAGTAAAAAAAAAAAAAATGGAAAAAAAAATAACTTTTTCTTATGGTATTTTTTAATTTATATAAAATAAAAATTTATTATATCAGCCTTAAAAATAATAATAATTAAAAAATAGGAAAAACAAAAATTATGAATTTTTTTTCTATTTTATAAAATTAAAAAATAAGTTACGAATTTATTATTAGAATGAGTTGTTTTTGTGTTTAGTTAAGAAAAAAAAGGAAAAAATTCATAAAATTTTAATTTATTTTAACCAATTTTAAAAAAATTATTTTCGAATAAACGAATTGGTACATAGGTATAAGTATTTTTTACAGAAAATATGAAAGAAAATTAAATTATAATTTGATAAAAATAGAAAAAATTAATATATTTTATTTGGGGCTGCAGAATAGAGCCTTTGATATTAGTCTATTCACCTATATAAAATAATCTTACAGCATAATTTGTATGACAATATCTTATAGTAACAAGTATATAACAATATCTTATACATGAAACAACAATGAATGAGAAATTTCGACTATATCGACTTATTATAATTAAATTGTAAATTAATATTAAAAATACTCAATCCTTTTAATTTTAACAATAAGTATAATTAATAAATAATTTATTTGCATTTTTATATCATTTAATATTTGACTATTATTTGGCCAAAATATTGGTTAAAATATAAATAACCGATTCAAAAAACTAATTTATATTTTACATTTAAGAGTTGAATTCTTTTTGAAAATAATATTTGAAATAAAAACTATATTATTTCACGTGTCAATCATTTTTAATAATGAATATCATTAAATTATTTATCTGAAATCGATCGATGATTTAATTGTGACCATAAAACCAAGTTTTAACCGATAATTTTTAATAAAATCCAAGTTATTCAATTTTATGATAATATCCATACCTTTTCACAGCATACATAACTTATTAATTTCTAAGAGTCTTAATTCATATTGAATTGAATAATATCATTAGCTCCACTATACTCTAAATTCTCGTTTTCTCAACTTTTTTAATTTATTGTTAATGCAATTTGATTCATCTTGATTTTATGAAATGATTAAGTTACTTTCTTACTCGTATATCCACAATAAAGTTACTTTTTTGTTGCTAAGAATAACTTCCCATTTTCATTGATGGTAGTTTCTAATTACTAACTTTAGGTACCAGGGTACATGAAGATTTTATATTATTAGATCTCCTTCCATAGTTATATCCTTATTATTACAATTATCCAAAATTTTCATGAAAATCATAATCCGTTTTTATTTCATCATCCAAAATCTATATTCATATTCACAAATTCTTTAACATTCTTTAAATTCTTTCACATTTAAGCCAACACACTAAATTTTCTTTATAAACTAAAATAAAAAAAAAAAAATTTTAAATAAAAATAGTTAGGAACTTAAAAAAACAAGACAAATATCATAAACCATTCGACTATTTTAATAACACCATGTATATACAAACATATGTACGTATATTTTTATTCTCTTTTGGGATAGATGGTAATGGTTGTCGCTGGCCGTACTCGCGCGTTTATTTCTTTTATTTTACTTGTTTTTTTTTTGTACTTTCCTGTTTTTTTTTTTTTTGTTGCGGAAACACTTTTTATACCTACATACATTGAAAAAATATGCTTATCCTTCACAAAAGTGGATGCATTCAAACCCCAGTTTTAACCCTTAGTTTTAAATTTTATAAAAAAACTTTTTTTCCCTATTTTTACATACTAGATATTTTATGTTATTAACCTTTTTTCCTTTGGCAAAATGGTTGACAAAAGGAACTCTTCCATTCAAAATATTATAAAATTTTTTTAATAATGTTCTATAATAATTAGAAATTTTAATATTCTTAATCCATATAGAATTGAATAAACTCTTAAGTTTTATGTAATGTAGAATGTAATAGTAATTTATTTATTTACTAAACAATACAGTCTCTTAAATATAGTAGCAATATATAAAAACAAAAAATTTATTTACCTGAACCATTTTTTTTGATTGAATTGAAGCACTTTTTTTACATTAAAAATAAAAAAAATTATCAATATTAAAACAAAATATTTTAATTAAACAAATATTGACGTATTTCTTTTTTTTTTTATTTTTTTTTGTTACTTTTGAATTTCTATTAAAATCTAATTCATAATAATTATAGAACTCATTATTGTTTTCAAATAAAAAATACAAATATTTAGGAAATACACGTGAATCCGAAATTTTCCAATTTTACGTCTGGCGAACTGAAATGCAAAGTTTTGACTGAAAGTTGCACTCACAAATTCCTTTTCTTTTTTTTCTTTTTCTATTTAATAAAAAAGAATTAGAAACACAAAACAAGTAAAAAAAAAAAATTTCAAAGGATAAAAAATTTAATGTCCTTTTTTTTATATTCTTTTCTTTTAGCGTAAATGTTTTTTTTTTTATTATTTTTGACAATTCTTTTTAAAATTATTGAAAAGCTCATACACGTGAGAGAGAAATTTTGACATAAAAGGAAATATGAAGAAAATTGGTGAAGAAAACAGATGAAAAAAACAAATATGGCTGGCGTTCAAATGTCATTAATATTGTTGACAACCGGCAAAATATTTTGCAGTAACTTTATGTAGCAGGATGATTAGTTCATACTAAATTGAAAAAAATAATGTTAAAGGAGAGAATTTTGTAAATTGTAAAAATAAATTAAAATTGAAATTTTAAACAAGAAGAATTAAACTTAAATTCATTGACTAGAATGTCTTTCATGCACAATATGAAAATATTCAAAAAAATTTTTTGAAAAACATAAACTATTTTGTACAAATCTAAATCTACTATGGATTAAAAATGGAAAAACGTCCTATAAAAAGATTTTTTCGGTAAGTATTATAGTTGATAATGGTTATTTTGATTATATTTTATTGATTTCTACTATATATTTTATATAATGTTCTTGTTGAAATTGAAAAAGTTCTCTTTTTTACCTCAGTAGATTCGAACACAAACAATGCTTTTTAGCTTTTCATTAAAGAGATCTTATAAGTTCAATATTTTCAAACTCTTATGGAACAAAATATAATATTTTTAGAATATGAATACCGTCATAAATGCTTAATATTGAAATTAAGCACTAAAATAATGAAAGCAAATGAATAAAGTAATAAAAACAAAAAAGCTACAAAAAATATGTAAAAAAACAAAACTATGTATATTACTAAGTTTTTTCTACTCACCACTAGATGTCATGCATTGTCAACTAATAATTTGAATATCAAATCTAATTTAAACGTCAAAAACGTGGATATCTGTACCCTATTTTAATACTTCTGTAATAAACATTTTAATTCTTCTGAGTTAAAAAACGTAAACAAAAGAAATATTTACTAAAGAACTTTTATTTCAACGTTTAAAAAATGTCGGATGAAGAATTCGAACGATTTGAAATAACAGATTACGATCTGGAAAATGAATTTAACATAAATAGACCACGAAAACGTTACACAAAACACCAACAAATATATGGCATTTGGGCAGACGACAGTGATAATGATGATGAAGAACTTTCGAGCCGTAAAAACCGACGAAATAAAATTGCTGGCTCTAAGCAAAAAGATTATACAGCTCCAGTAAGTTTTGTTGCTGGAGGAGTTCAACAGGCAGGAAAAAAAGAGAAAAATGAAGATAATGACGATAGCAACCAAATTACTGATGAAGAAGATGATAGGCCATCATTTAGCAGAAAAGGTATAGAAGACTTAGAAAAAAATACGTCAAGTGAATCTGAACCAGAAGAAGCACCAAGAGCAGGTTTTGGTTCAAAGAAAAAGCCAGCTCAATCTTCTACAGGCAGTTTAGCTTCATGGGAAAAGCACACAAAGGGAATTGGTGCAAAGTTACTTTTGCAGATGGGTTACGAACCTGGAAAAGGTTTGGGTAAGGATTTGCAAGGTATATCAAGACCAGTTGAGGCTCACGTAAGGAAAGGTCGAGGGGCAATTGGTGCTTATGGGCCAGAAAAAGCATCTAGTGTCCCAGGGCAACCGGCTCGTTTAGCTATAGACGAAGACGTTAAAGAAGAAAAAGAATTTAAAGAAAAATTAAATCAGTGGAAAAAAGGATCAACGGATAAGAAAGATAGAAAAAAAAGATACTATTACAAATCTGTTGAAGAAATTTTGGAGAAAAGTAAAAAAGGTGGACCACAATTTCCAGATCTTTATAGTAAAAAATTAAGTAATGTAACAGTAATTGATATGACTGGTCCAGAAAAACGGGTTTTGAGTGGCTATCATGCTTTAGGACAAGCTAAAATAGCAGATGAAGATTTATATGAAAGCCGACCAACTAAGAAAAAAACAAATTTTGCTTTACCAGAATTGATGCACAATTTGGATTTAATAGTTAATATGTGTGAACAAGAAATTATTGCTGTTGACCGTGCTGAAAGGGATGCCAATGAAAAACAGAAACAATTGGAACATGAAAAAGAAAATTTAGAAAAAATTATTAAACTTGAACAAGATCACATTAATATCTTAGAATCTGCCTTAGAATTAGTTGAAAGTCTAACAAATAACGAAAATTTGACCTTAGATGAAGCTGAAAAGTTATTTATAAGATTGCAAACGGATTACGCAGCAGAGTATAAAGAATTTGGTTTAGGGGATTTAGCAGCTGGTGTTATAGCTCCATTAATAAATAATGAATTGAAAAATTGGAAACCATTGGAAGAGCCTACGAAACACGTTAATAAAATTAAAAAATGGCAGAATATTTTAGGAATGCACCAATCCGAAGTCCGAAGCGTTTTTGATCCTTATTCTTCTATAATATGGTCTGGAGTTGTACCACAATTAAGAATTTGTGCTGCAGACTGGAATCCAAAAATGCATCAGCGAATGGCTGCTTTATTAGACACATGGGCACCATTATTCCCCACCTGGATTTTAGATAATGTTTTGGAACAATTAATATTGCCTAAATTAGTTACTGGCGTACAAGAATGGGATCCTTTAACAGATACTATTCCAATACACAGTTGGATTTTACCATGGAATGGTATATTAGGTCATAAAATGGAAGAATTCATATTTCCTACTATTCGTGAAAAATTAGGAAATGCATTAACAGCGTGGCTTCCAAATGACAGATCCGCACGAGCCATGCTACAGCCATGGAGAGAAGCATTTAAATCAGCAGAGATGGAAGCCTTTATTGTTCAACATATTATACCCAAATTACAGCTTGTCCTAAATGAACTTGTTATAAATCCATTACAACAAGACTGGGAATTATGGAATCAAGTATATGAATGGAATGAATTAATTTCGCCATTATTAATGGCACAAATGTTAGATAAATACTTTTTCCCAAAATGGACACAGACTTTAATTATATGGTTAAATCAATCTCCAAATTTTGATCAAATATCACAATGGTATACCGGTTGGAAAAGTTTAATTTCCGAGGATATTATAGCTCAACCGACTATTAAGGAACATTTTCGAAGAGCTTTAGAAATGATGCACAGAGCCACTCAACCCACCAATATAGACGGACAACCGTCTGTATCAATACCACAAAATATACCACCGCCACCTCCAATTATAGAGAAACCGCCCGCTTTAATGGATCTTCAAATTTTACCACCACCACAATTAGAATTTAAAGAATTGGTGTCACAAAAGTGTGCAGAGCGTGGTATAATTTTTGCACCAATGCCTGGCCGAAGGGAATTCGGAAAACAGGTAAGCACTAAAATACTAATCTTTTTACTTTTTCTTGTTTAGCTGTAAACAGATCTATATTAAATAAAAATTTTTTTATTTTTTGATTTTAGGTTTACCGTATTGGAAAGTTATTCTGCTACATTGATAGATCCGTTTTAATGGTTAGTGACGGAACATTTACAAATTGGATTCCCATTTCTTTAGCTGTATTAATGGAACGGGCTGTTAGTGGTTAGAAGTAGTTTAGAATATTTTTAAGTAGAAAAAATAAGTAACGATTGTATAAATAAGATTATGGGATATGAAAATATGCAGATATAAATCATGTAAAATGAAAACTTTTTAAAATTAAATATATCTATGTAATTAAAAAAAATATTTAATGCTTTTGGAGAATAATCACCTTAAATTAATTTATTCATTTTTTTATTTTTTTTGGTATAATTATTAAATTAATAGCAAATTCATGAAATTACGAGTATAATGAGATTAATTAAAAAAATTTCGTTGTTATTGTGGAAATATGCACATATTCATTCGAAATTTTCAAAATTTTTAGTATTTTTTTTTTTTAAAGTAAACAAGCTATATTAAAGTGACGAGGAAACTATTCTTGTTAGTTTAAATTAATAATTGTAATGTCGTAGACGAAATTTCATTGTTTATGTTGGTCATTATAAGTTTTCACTTTTTTAGGGGCAATTGTTGAAATTGCTTGTTTTTGTTCTTCCAAAACATAATCATTAAACATATTGGCTAAATGCCATAACGCTAATAATGTTAATACTTCACCAAAATTTAATGGTTCTTGATTTGTATCTGATCGAATGGATGTATTCTCATTGCTACTCAAATCTTCTAATTCATTTTCATCAGATTTATTATCAATATTTTTAGAAGAAGATGATTGTGATGATGCCGGTGATACTGATGGTGATTCTACTTTTCCAATATTTTGATTTTTTCCAGATAAAAGTGCTTGTAAATCTTTTGCTAAGGTTTTTGAACTTCCAAAATAATTTTCATTTAATCCAAGATATGTTGTTAAATCGGAAAGTGTTAATGGTTCTACTTGTGTTGATTTATCATCTTTTCTTGGTATCTTCTGTCTATGATTCTCAATTGATGATGATTTATCAGTAATAGGATATTCATCAATTAAATCAATTCCTTCACTATTTGTATAAATTACAGGACTTTCACGAAAAACTACATATGAAAGTGCTGGTGAGATTATTAAAAAAGAATAAGATAATATTATTCCGAATAAAGAAGTTGTCATCTTTTTAAAGAAAAAATCCTGCACTGTATGGAAGAAATTAATTTTTTCTTTTTTAAATTGATTGATCTCAACTAGGGTTAAAAGACGACTGAATCGCGTACTTTTAAGAACGCAGAATAATAAATAAAAATGTTGATGCCGCTAATTATATAAAAAGAAGGAAAAAAACAAAGTAAATATTAAATTTTTGCCATCATATTTTCATTTAGCTTTTCATAAATTCAATGTAAAGCATAATATATAAAAAATTTTTGTATTTGTTTCAATTTAAATGATTGTTTTGGTCATTTGACCAAATGACATAATTAATTTATCTAGAATTATATCAGTAAATAATGGAAAAAATATAATAAGAGAAACTTATTCAAAGAAAAGTAAAACAAAAGGAGAGGAGGAACTGTTCGAAAGCTCCAGCGTATAAAATTTATAAACATAATATAAAAATTATTAATAATATTTAGAGTAATTTTAAAATTGTAAATCTTTTTAGGAAAGAAACAATCCAGTGAAAAGGACAAATCTTTTTTGTAAATACAAGTTATAACAACTTATATCCATGTAAATTATAAGAGGCCGTGAAAAATGAAAAGTAAAATTAAATTTTAACACAGTTTCCAAACCTGCAAGACTTTGGCTTCTGTCTGTTATTGCAGTAGTACTATGATAAATATGCTCATACAAAATTTGGACCATAATATTTTAATGTTATTGCAGTTTATATGAGATTAATTTCAAAAAATTGATTCGATATTTTATTATTTTAATAAAGAGATGAACCCTTTTTTATATTTATATTGAAGATTTTGCTTTAAAAGCGATTATTTTTTTTTTTTTTTGTTATATGATTGATTTAAGTTATAATTAAGAAATTCTGAGTTTCAATTAAAATCAATTATCTGAAATTCAACTTTCTTTTCTTTTTTATCACACTTTTTATTACTCAAATATGTAACAATATTTTATAAGAAGCTAATTGATGCTCACACATAGCATATAACGTACATATGATTATACTTGTATATTATCTAAAGTAACCCTCATATCTATCCGAAAAATCTATGTAATAGATTTATTACGAAAGTAATATAAGATCTCATATATACATATAAGTGCAATCATTGCAATTATAGATCAAAATATTGTCCAATGCTATTATAGCTAATATAATGCTTCCTATATTGTATTTCACTTAAGATATTTTCATAGAAGTATTTTCTAATAATTTATTTTTTCTTTAATTAGCTACTTATTTTTTTTGTTTTTTTTTGGGATATGTTCACATACAGTGGCTCACAAAAGAAACCGGGCAAGAATATTATACTGTTTTAAATATAAATATATATATATAAATTTCATAATATATTCAAATTTCATTCATATATTTTTTTAATAACTTCAATGTAACATTTTTACAAAAACATAAAAATTACAAAACATAATAACAACAAAAAAAAAAGCATAAATAAATTTTTCTTGCGAAATCTGGCTCACAAAAGAAATCGGGCAAATTAACCGTATTAACGGCGCCAATAATCTGCTAGCAAAAACTTTTGCCTTCTGATATGTAATCCAATTTTAAGTGCATCTACTTAGTAATAGCTAGTTCTGTTGCGATTTTCGAAGCAATTGTAGTGTAATATTTTGTGATATTTCAAAATGGGCCGGTATACAAGTAAAAGCGAAAGGGAAATTGTAATTTTGAACTTTAAAAGTGGTAAAACTGAACGGGAAATTGCGGAAATCGTTGGAAAAAGTAAATCTACGGTTCATGACATAATAAAAAGGTATAAAGAAGACGGACAAATAGCCAACAAGCCAAAAACAGGCAGAAAAAAGATTTTATCAGTCAGAGACGAAAGATTTGTATTAAGAAAAAGTAGAGAAAATCCCTTCATATCTGCTCCTAACTTGGCTCAAATTGCAAAGGATTCCCTTGAAAAGGATGTCCATGCTGAAAACATTAGAAGAGTTCTACGGCGTGCAAATCTTTATGGTCGGGTAGCCAGAAAAAAGCCATACATTTCTGAAAAAAATAGAAAAGAGAGATTGGAATTTGCTGAAAAATATCTAACCAAAGATTTTTCATTCTGGAACAAAGTAATTTATGCACTGTTTAAGCTTTAGAGACGTATTTAACCATTTTTATAGGTTTCATTTACAGATGAAAGCAAATATAATCTTTTTGGGTCAGATGGTAGACGATATGTATGGAGAAAAGTAGGCGACGAATTTAATGTTAAAAATACAAAAAAAACCGTAAAACATGGTGGAGGGTCAGTCATGGTGTGGGGGTGCATGTCGGCTTCCGGCATTGGAAATTTGCATTTTATAGATGGGACTATGGATAAAATGCAATATTTGAACATTCTTAAACAAAATGTCAAACAAAGTGCCGAGAAGCTAGGGATTTTAAATGACTTTATTTTTTATCAAGACAACGATCCCAAGCACACCGCAAGAGTAGCAAAAGAGTGGCTATTGTACAACTGTCCCAAGGTCTTAAAAACGCCAGCCCAGTCACCAGACATAAATGTAATCGAACATTTATGGGAGGAGCTAGGCCGAAGAATGCAATCTAGGACGTGTTCCAATGTCCATGAGTTAAAAGAAGTTTTACAAGAAGAATGGTGTAAAATTGACTCTTCAGTATGTTTGAAGTTGGTCAAGTCTATGCCCAGCAGGCTACAGGCTGTAAAAAGACAGCAAGGGAATGCCACAAAATATTAATTTTTGTTGATACAACATTTGAAATATTATAATTCAATGTTGCCCGATTTCTTTTGTGAGCCAGATTTCACGAGAAAAAACTATTTATGCTTTTTTTTTTGTTGTTATTATGTTATGTAATTTTTATGTTTTTGTAAAAATGTTACATTGAAGTTATTAAAAAAATATATGAATGAAATTTGAATATATTATGAAATTTATATATATATATTTATCTTTAAAACAGTATAATATTCTTGCCCGGTTTCTTTTGTGAGCCACTGTATATAGACGGGTATAACACATAAAATACACTATTATTTTTTCAAATTGTGAGCTTTTTGTAATATTTCATGAAATTAATTGATTTATTATTTAGAGAATATTATTGAATATGATCCCATGGACTACATATAACTGATAAAAATTGAAAAATGAGGAATATTTCTTTGCATAAACTTAATAATTAATTGTAATTATAATGACAAGCTATACTCAATTACTAATAAATTATAAAATTTAATTCAGTTCAATTCTAAGGTACTAAAATTTTTATTTAAAATAATTTTATTAGAGATTAATTACTAATTTGTTTAGTACTAATATTAGAGATTAATTACTAATTAATTTTTATAAAATATTAGTTTTGAATTGTTAGGAAAATGAAGAAAATCAAATTAATGTGTAGTATATTATGGCATGCATATTGTATGTACATATATATGAGGTATACTAAAAAGAGTAATCAGAGCATAAATTTAGCATAATTAGCAATTAGAAGATTTAAGAATTCAATTTCACACTAAGCTAGGTATCTTTATCACTATAATTAGCATTGTTGAAAATTGGTTCCATCATCACATTATGTAAATTCAATAAATCTTCCAATAAAATCTTTTAATTTTTCAAATATATTAAAATATTCTTACCAGCATTTTTTTCGAATTTCCAAATTGAACATTTAATTTCAACTTTAATTTATGAAATAGCTATTGCAATTTTTTCAAGTAGAATTTATAGATTAAAAAATTTATCAAAATTTCAACTTTTTCCAGGCTTTGTTAATTTTAAAATTTTTATTGTTATTTTGTTTTTTTTTTCTTCTATTTTGTAAATTTAAGCATTTCCTTTTCAACTCTATCCTATTTACATTTTGATTCATTAACACTCCTATTTAATTTTTGTTTCGTTGTATTTGCAATATAGAATAATTTTAAAAATTTTATGATTCATATGTTTTCGTTGAATCGTCATATATAAATTTATAAAATACTAAAATGTATTATAAAATTAAAATATCGTTAAATATACGGTAACATGAAAACGGTACATTAAAATTGGAATTAAGAATTGGGCACGATCCCGATTGTGTCTGTTATTTAGTTCATTCATCTATGAATCATGTTTATAGATATGACCCAGTAAATTTAAAGAATTCACTACCATTGCAAAATATTTATCGACAAACCAACTGTGTTAACTAAATGTGCGTTAATTACGTTCTAAAATAAATCACACTGAGAATTATTTTGTTTTCCTTCTTTTCATGAGAATCAATTCAATCTAATCAAATAATTCATAAAAATTTGAGTAAAAATTTTAGTAATATATAATGCAGATAAAATTGTGCAGATATACTCATAAATCAAAATTATAATAATTTAATTGATCTTTTTAATGTAATTAGATTATTAGGGTATGTTCATTGGTAGTAGGTAGCTGATTCATTAATGTCGTAGGGGCTCAAATAATTGATCAAGTGAATTTATTTCTAATAATTTCTGTGAAATAGCTATTATATCGTACAAGGAATATAATTTATAGAAAATTCTATTATTATTTGTAAAAGCTTAACTTACACTAAATTTATTATTAAATTGTATATAAAATAAAATCAAATTAAATGGTAAGAAAATATAAAAATAGGTTAAATTATATTTAAAAAAATATTAAATTCTATTTTGATTGTTATAAAGATAAAAATTGAAAATTCTTTAGAAATTTTTTTGATTTTTAGAAAAATGATAAGTTATGAGTTCTTCTGTATTGAAAAATAATTAAGTATTTTTAAGTCTATTTTTAAAGAGATAAATCTGGACATGATTAGGCTTTATTTAGAATTAGTTTTATAATTTAGAATACATAGTTTTAGTGTTATTTAAAGAAAACTAAGGTATATTTTCTAAGGAAATTTAGTTTATTAGAAAATTTTTGTGGGTTGGAATACTAATTGTTTTGGTTAAACTTAGGTTTAAAAATAGGTATAGTTAAATAAATTTAGGGTAATAAAATTAGAGCTATTTTCGACTCAAATAGTTTTTTAAAACCAGAGGTACATATATATGAGTTTATTCTTTACCAACATAATATGCAGTTAATTAATAATACAATGCAGTTAATTAAAATAATATCAAAATTCAAAATGTAATTCAACTCATTGATCTAGAAATCCATATATGTTATGATTTAAAAATACAAATATCCTAAAATTTACAAGATCAACTAAAAAAATTTTTAAATTTTATTTCTATAAATTCAATATTCATGAATTATAATTAATGTTGATATCATTTACGAGAATGCTATTCTATATAAACTATACGTATACAGTATATTATGTGTATTATCGAATCGTGTATACAAATACACGATACTACGATAAAACCATAACCAAAACAAATAAACAAGAACATTTTTCGGAAATGTTAAATAAAAATAAATATTTTTCTTTTTTCATTAATTGCGTTAACGCAATATTTTGACTGAAATGAAAAGCTTTTTTTTTAATTTAAATTAATTAATTATGCAAGTTTTGGATAATTTTGAAATCAATTGAATACGAATAATATGGTTCGATCACTTTTAAAGGGCATAATGCTTTATACATACTACTCCTGGAGTAAAATCAAGTGATTTGTGAACTAAATTTACATATTTGCTATTTTCTTTTTACAGGAATCTAATAATCTAAAACTATAACTGCCCAGCAAGAGTATAACACTCTGAACTATACACAAAAACATACGAAATAATTCTAGAGAGGAGTGTTTTTAAATATTTAATACTTAAATCTATTGTTTAACCTTTATTCTATTATGTAATAACAAAACAGCGTTAAATTTACAATCCCAACCACTCCGAGGAGTAGTTTAAGACTGATATGTGTGCATAAGGAATGCAATAATTAAGTAAAACAATTTACCGAAATAATTTGGACACAAAATAAAAGTATGTATAATTTTCGTATCAACTACTTACAGAGTTTGCGTTAACAAGAAGAATACGATCTACTGAACTGTTATATACGTCTAGAATATTATATACCTTTGAAAGAAACGCACCAATTGAATACTATCACAAGTTTATCGTACTGGTATACCATTATACTATATCTACGATTTTTCTGATTTTTTGATTTCTGAATCATTTCACTGAAGATAACACCATTATCATTCTATTTAATTTGTATGATTGTTTATTATTATCTATAAAATATTGAAAAAAAAATCTGTTCTTTAATGTTTATAATAATAAGTAATAAATTGATGTGCTGTCAGTTCCAATTTGGATTTTAACTTTTGTGTTTGCATACGTACCACAGGCAATTATTATAAAAAGGTGAACTATTTCTGATCTACAAACGAAAACAAAAAATTTAATAAAAATTAAAAATGTGTTTTGGATGTGCTTCATCTGGTCCAACTTCAGCATGGGTGCATACCACACAACCCAATCATGTTATAGTTCAAGATAGAGTAGGTTGTTTTATAAAAATTTTAATTACATATATATTATTTTATGTAATATTCTTTTGCCAATTATTAATTTTAATGTATGTATTTTCTTAAAGCCAATTTATGATGGTGTCGGATGTTCATCTACTATTATTTCAACTCATCCTACTTATAATACTGGATTAGGTACAACAATTATATCACAACCAAGTGTGGGAATTGGTGTTGGTTTAGGTTTAGGTTCAACAATTGTTTCAACACCAAGTTATGGTATTGGTGGTGGTATGGATGCAACAATTATTTCAACACCAAGTTATGGTTATGGTGGCGGCATAGATGCAACAATAATTAATCAACCAAGTTATTGTGGTGGTGGTGGTCTTGAAACAACAATAACTTCAACACCTAGTTTTGGTGGAGGTTTTCAGGAAACAATCATAAGTGAACCAAGTTTTGGTGGTGGTGGTTTTGATGCATCTATAAGTGTTGAACCAAGTTATTTTGGTGATGGTGGCTTTTCAGCAGAAATTTCATCATATCCAAGTGATTACTAAAAAAAAAATTAAAAGTAATTTTTAACAATTTTGAATTAATTTAGTAAATTTTAATTTAATTTATTATTATTTTTAAATATTGTTAATAATGGTAAGAAAATTTAATAGACAATGTCAATTTGATTTTTTTTTTTTTGAATAAGCTTGTATTATAATAAGTAGTGTGCTCAGTTGTGCTAAGTCAAATAATAAAAAAAAAAATATTATTAAATTTATATTAGATAAAGTTATAAGAGTAAAAAAGAGTAAACTCTAGAAATAGAAGTTTTCTAAAAAAACAATATGTGTAGTGTTTGTAATCATTATCAATGGTCATTTAATAGGAAAGGAGTGAACATATCTATAAACATAGATAACACATCATTCGATTTTATTTTTAAAATTGAAGTGTTCGATTGTTTATTTTCAATCAGAAATCATTACAAACATCGAACCTAAAAATTCATCAGAATAGGTGAAAACAAATTTTAAATTTTTGTCCTACAAATCTCGAAGTTCAAAATTTAAATAAATAAAAATATATAAAATATTTCTTTTTATTAACACAGTTTGTTATGGTAGGGGTATAGCCCGGTTTCGGTTTTCATTCATAAAATTATTTCTAAGAAATACTAAGTGTGTATTGTTATAAAAACAATTAAAATATATTTCATATATAAGTTAAAACATTTTTATATTTTCACAACTCATGAGCAAATCATATTTATTTTAATAATGTAAAATCACAAGTCGGCTCTCAAATAAAAACGTGAGCATGTTTATTATTTTGAAGTGCTCTCAATTTGCTCATTTAATTTACTTTTAAAATATTTTGTACTCATTTTATATTTTTATTTCTTACAAGAAGTTCTAATTAACCTAATTTAATTATAATACTTTTATCTTAATTTGATTTCAGTGCTTAGAATTAAAAGCATTTCTTAATTAATATTTATTTTATCTTTTATTTGTAATTGAAGACAAATTTTTTTATTTATATTTTGCATAGTTTATGAAAATTTTATTGAATTTATCAAAATAGTAATATTGTAAGGCATTGAGCGTTGTATAAAACTATAAGTTATTGTAATTATGAAGAAAAAAAAATTATTATCTTCGTATAACTATACTACATTCTTTTTATAACAATAGTTTTATTTGACTATGTATGTATATTAAATTCTTTTAGATAAAATTATTCCTTACAATAAAATCATTTGATTTTCTTTCTGATAAGACTCATTCATATTTTTATTGTTGCAAAATTAAAAGGTAAGGTCAGTTATATTATAAATACTGTTATAAATAGGTATACCTACGCTATAATGGTGACGTATATTCGAGTTAGTTATAATAATTTTAGAATAGTTTCAAGCTATATACTAATATTTTATTTCAGTTTTTCTGTTATATTATGAAAAGGCTTGTTACACGCAACTAAGTATAATTCTATATTATATGATTCATACAATATTTAGCTTAATTGTAACAATTTAAAGAAAAATAATTTAATTTTGAGTTTATGACTTGCATTATATTAAAACACTATAAGTTATACAGATTAAGATTAACATAATATGTACATATATAAATGACAGAAATACAAATTTGAATATTATAATTAATAATCTTATCAATCAAACCTCATAAATTTGTGTCTCAAAAATTCAAGACCAGAGAGAGAGAGCATTAAAAATAGAAAGACTTTATAAGAAACCAGAGCAGTTATGTTGTGAAAATAAAAATTTCAATTTAACTATGATTTATTATTTGGGACTTGGCGAAAAGTTTTTCACCACACTTTTGTTTTTGTTTAAAAGTTAAACAATTTATTTCTTCAGTTAAATTTAAATTATCATTAATTTTTTTTTTGGCATATAATTTTATGACGAATTAAAAAAAAATTTTTGAGAAACTTTTGATATTAACTAGAATTCGATAAAATAACGTTTTACGTTTGCGCAACATATAACCGATAAGAAAATTAAAAAAACAAAAAAAACAAAAAATGTTGATTTTATTTTTCTAAATTTGGCGAAAATTTATTGATAAAATAAACAATGAATATTTTGTAAATACTCCCAAATGAATGAAATATGGAAAATGATGACAACAAAAAGCAGTAATGCGCGTTGTGTGCATAATAATAACTCATATGTATATTGCATATAAGTATGTACACATGTACATATACATATGTACTAATTAGCCGCACAATTATCTATATATTTGTCAACAATATAATTTTGAATGTGCATTGTGGAGAAACACTTTAGTCATTAACCATTATTGTAATATTATGATAGTAGTTTGTTGAATGTGTTTTTGTTTATTAAATTTTCAAGCCAGAAAGAATTGTAGAATGGATTTTTTACGTAATGTACGGCGTAATGTCGTAACTCGTAGTAATGTGAAAAATGTTGTAAGAGAGTATACAACAAAGAGAATACAAATTGTGGAAACATTATAGTTATCGGTTTCTCGCACAGGAATATTTATGTACATTTAAATGGTGTTTTCAAGTAGCACATTAATATTCACATGTCGTACGTTTTAAAACCAAATTATCGTCTTAACCTACATAATATTAATAAGAAAAATAGAACTTTTTACAGAATTATCATAATTTTCTAAGAACTAATATAGTAGAAACTTAGCTCTAATTATTTGACAAAAATTAATTTTTATTCATTACTTAGGAAATCTTATCTATCCACTTCCATTTTAGTAATAAAACAATATTTTTTTTTAGATAACAAAGCTCATGTTCGATTTCATTGAAAATAAACCCTTAGATATAAGAATAACACAAAAGTTTTTTACTTTGATTTTTCCATTATTTTATAAAACTGTTTTTTTTTGTTCTTTCAGTATTATTTGAAATTCTAACTGGAAAAGTTTTAGTGTAAATAAGCGCTATTTTGATTTTTGAGTAGATTAAAACAAACTTAAAAGCAAAAATGTGTTTCGGATGTTGTGACGACAATACCACCGTTTGGCAATCAACACAAACAAATCCAGGTTTTGTTCAAGATCGGGTATATAATATTAAATGTTTTATAATACAAAGGAAAATTTTTAGAATAATTTTCTTTTAAAAATATGTAGCCAATTTATGATAATACAATGGGACAATCAATAATAACACAACCAAGTTATGGATATGGTGGTGGAATGGATGCTCAAATTAGTTCACAGCCAAGTTATGGTTATGGTGGTGGAATGGATGCTCAAATTAGTTCACAGCCAAGTTATGGTTATGGTGGTGGAATGGATGCTCAAATGAGTTCACAACCAAGCCGGTTTTAAAAACGCTATGCATTTACATTATATCGTATAATATCCTAATAGGATTTATAAGAAGACGCATGTTATGTAATAGGATTTACAATTTTATAGCGGAAATTTGTTATTTTTCTCTTTTATTTTGATATAAATAGTTAAATTGGGGTTTAAATGTTATAAAATTATTGAGTATTTTTAGAATAAGTATTTTTGTATTTTAGAGATTACAACCTTTATGTATGTAGTAAATAAAATTTACACTTATTTTATATAAATTTACTTACATGTTCACCACATTGGTTTATTATTTTCAATTTCAATATTGCTTTTAAATTTTATATATAATTATTTATATTTTATATTAAGATTAATTATGTTGTTGAAATTCCATTTAAGAACAATTAAACCTTAAACATGTAACACACTTCAAATATAAAATTAACCCACCTTAGTACATCAAAACGGTGTAGTTGAGCACAATACTCACGTTTATTCCGATAGGTGACTCTATCTGGTGATGTATTTATTAGAAAAAGTAACAAATCAAATTTTTTGATATTTAAATTAATGTTATATCAATTCATTTTTTGCAATAATCTTCTTAACATTGTTTTATTTGCAAATTTTTGACAATTTCTGTTTTAACAACTGTTACAAAATTTTTGATAATTCCAGGAATAATTTATTTTGTGTTTTACTTCGTAAATGAAGACAATAATCTCACCATTAATTTCAATACTAAAATTTTTCCATATATTAGGACATAATATTAGTTGCATTATTCATATTTTTTTTTTCCCCTTTATTCACTCCTAGAAGGAGCATAGGGCTAGCTAGTTTCATAGCGTCATAGAGTTTAACTAGGTAGGTGACTAGCCTGCCGTAGTTTTATTTATATTAATTATTTGAGGTTATTAATATTTACTGTTTATTTTTCTTAGTTTTTTTTTTTTTAATATCGAATATTACGAATATTTGAAAATTACTTGTATAATATTTATATTGTATAATATTTATATAGTATTGTATATTTAGTTACAATAATATTGAATATAATTTTTATAGTGACCTGACCGGGGTTTGAACCCGAGACCCTATTTGTATATTATTCATATTATTTCGCTAAGTATATTATTCATATAGTAAGCGAAAATTATTTTAATAAATTTTAACATTTAAAATTCATTATTTAAAAATGTATGCAAACTTAAAATCGTAAATAACACTTGAAATAATTTTTTCTTATCACTAAGGCAACATAATCATGTAATTAATGTGAAAATTTGTACTTTATCAGCCTATTGATTGTAAATTTTTTACAGTACCAAGTATGATATTTGCAAGTATGATTAAAGTACCAAGTATAATTAAAAGCCGTATTAAATAATAAATATGTATATACATAATATTATAATCAAAGCTATCTGCTATATTAAGTATGTGCATAATATTTACATAGAGATAATTTATTTATTGCTATTAATAATAAGATAAGTATTTACAGAAAAACAATATATTTTTAAGATTTACCACTAATGGAAAAATATAAATTTTAAAGTCTAATTCGCATACATTGTACAATTGAATGTGCTTAACCGTTTTGAGTAGCAAACAACAGATGGCGCAGTATTAAAATATCGACGTGCGCAACTAGCTTTAAAATACATACATCACATGATTTTGACGTTTCATACTGGTTATCTTTTAACAAGAAAAGTTTATAATCAATTAAAATTTATTTGATTTTTTCTTTTTATTTAAAGTATTTAGCAAATTGTTTATAAAATCTTACATTTTATAATTTGGACAATTGTTAAAATATTTTCTTTAAAATTTTTAGTTTTGTATAATAGTTGTGAGCTAAGAATTTGTAAGTATGAATAATGTTTGTAGTGCAATTTATGTTCATCAGAAAGCAGATACCCATACATTTTAAATTTGAATTTCAAATTTTTGAAAACTAGATCTTATAAATCTAATCTTTTGTTTCAACCGTTTAACGTAAATGATAAATCCACCCATTATATATACTTGTATGTAAGAGTATGTAAATATGCAAAACGGTTGATAGTGGCCGAGAATAACATTTGTTTCAAATTTGTTTAAAGTTTTGATATGGCATGGCAACTTAATCTGGAGTTAAACGTTTGTATTTTATGTTCTTTTATTAGGGAATGAGAAGGGTATGAATGTAATTTTGTTATGGCCGGTAATATCGATCAGTTTCTGATGTAAATTTCTACCTTAAATATTCACTGTAAAACTTGTAAAGTGGATCTTCTGGATTTATTTTAAAAACTTTCCATTTTGAAATACGTTAATAAAATTTTACACTGTTTAGAACTATGCTTTTTATTTTCTTAGACTGTTATTGTTTTTGATTGTTTATTGTTTTACACAAAATACGTTTTTATCAAAAAAAAAAAAAAAAATAGTAAATATTTGATAAAATTAGAAAAGATGACGCATGTCTAAGTTTGCTGGAAATAATTCAAAAATAGTACCTACATACATGTTTAACTATGTTATCTGAATAAGGAATTGATAAAGAAAAAGCTGTCAATAAAATATTTATAAAGCTTTGATAATAGACCTACTACACATACATAATTATAAAAAAATATTTAATAAGTCGCATTTTTTAAAATAAAATTGTTGAAATACTTTATACATTTGTTGCGTACAGTCATTTGAATACTGGAGGTTTTAAAGTGTGAACAAAGAAAATAGGATCAAATACTACATTTAAACATTTCCATTTACAAAAAAAAAAAGAAATAACAATGAATCACAGTAATCAGTATTGGCAATCCACACAACCTAATCCAAACTTTGTCCAAGATAGGGTAAAATTACAAAATTCTTTTGTATAAAAAATTAATTATAATTTACATACATATATAATATTTTTTTAGCCAATTTATGATAATTCGTTGGGCCAAACAGTAACAAATATTCCTTGTTATGGAAATGGTTTGGGTGCTTCAATTAGTACACAACCAAGCTATCCAAATTATGGTCAAGGATTAGGTCAATCTATACAAACACAACCAAGTTATGGTTATGGTCAAGGTTTAGGACAATCAATTAGTTCTCATCCAAGTTATGGATTCGGAGGTAATATGGGGCAATCAATTAGTAGTCAACCTAGTTATGGTTTCGGTGGATCAGGTGGGTTAGGACAATCAATAAGTACACAACCAAGTTATCAGCCAATCGGGGGACTAGGAACATCTATTAGTTCGCAACCAAGTTATGGAGGTGGTGGTTTTTCAGAGAATATACAAACTCGTCCAAGTCAATTTTGACGATGGTCTTGGATTTTATTTTATATATTTGTATTTATTGCTTTTCTTGTAATGAAAAATTTACTGTATTCAAAAAAAGTATTAAATAATGAAGAAGAACGTATAGCTATCTAAATAAATGTTTAAAAACTTAAATAGAATCAAGATTTTATCATGTATTTCATTATATTAGTTATCTTAAGTTAAAAATTCTGTATAAAAATTTGATGTAAAATAAAATTTTGATGGCGTATTTACAAGAATTTAAAAAAAAAGATAAGGAAAGGAATGAATACTTATCTATGTATGTAAATATAAAATTTCGGAAATAAATTTCAATTAATTTCTACAAAAACACCTTAATATTTTAAACTTATCTTTAAATTGAAAATATGCTTTTTTGTTCTATAATATCTGAATTGAACAGATACATTAAGTATTATTTTAATAGTTTAAAAACTATTTTATTGCAAATATTTTTATTTACAAACAAATATCTATGTTGTATTAATTTTTTATGCCAAGATATTTTTTTTTTTTAATTTTTCTTAAGCAACTTTAATTAAAACGTTTAACTAATTATTGTTGTTATAATATGTACAATATAAGTAGTTATATATATTTTTAGAAATTTAACTTTGAACTTTTTGGTATCTTGAAAAACAAAAAATATTAGGTAGATTTACTTATCTTATAACTGGTTCCAACCAATTATTATTCATTAATTATAAGAAATTTTAAATATACATATTTTTGTACGTGTTGTGAATTTTGTATTACGAGTATACATTTTATGATGATGTATTATTTATATGATCTGATTTAAGACGTGCATAAATTTTTTGTATTATTTAGTATAAGCGGGATAAAAATAAAAATTAAATCAGTAAAATATTTTATAATTTAACATTTTTATTAATAAAATAAATATATGCACATTTTTAGAATTTTTTTTCATTTATCATTTTTATCTCGTTTATTATTATCAATTTAATTATTTATGTAGTAATTAAAATATGAATTGATTTATTTGGATAAAAATGAGCTCCATTTAAAAAAATATCAAAATTTAATACCATTTCATTTACAATGTCTGCAATACTTTTCCAATATTTTGTTACATGCTCCTGGATTTCTTTCTAAAAAGAAATATGTAGTACTAATTTTTGTATTAAGTTTAATTGTAACATAAATTTTTCAATATATACCGTCATTGAAAATAAAATAGGTATAAGTAAATATGGTGCATGAGATACTCTTACTTCAGTTGGTTTTAAACTACCTATTGTAGATAAAATTTTCATCATATCCATTAAAGATATAAATAAACATCGTTGTAAACCTTTTAAATCTTCGTAAAGTAAATTTAAGGCATCCATAGCTATTATACGAGGTGATATACCATAATTATTTGCTTTAAATTAAAAAAAAAAACAATTGTTAATTAAAATTAAATTAAATTCGGAATAAAATAATATGTAATTGTTTTTTTTTAAATAAAATATATAAATATATTTACATAAAAGTAATATTTGTACTCGTTTTGATATTAAAGGTTTTCCTAAATCTTTTAAAAAAATATTTAAAGCTGTTGCACATTCTCTTATTGAAAGAGGATTTTTTAAAAAATGTAAAATTTTTGTATCACCATTTTCAATTTTTGATAAAATTTTTTTAACACGAATTCTTGATCCATGATTTATAAATAAGCCTCGAAAATTTTTATCTGAAAAATTATTTATTTATAAGCATTAATTTAAAAAATAATTTAAATATTTAATTTTTACGTTCTTTAAGAAATTCGATACATTGTAATACAGTGTTCAGTTGTTTTTGACTAATTAATTGACATTGGAATTTTCTAAAAAGATATGAAAAATAGTTCTAATATAATTTTTTTTAAATGAAAATATTAATTTAAAATAGTAGCTATAATAATAATATAAAAATATTTAAAAAATAGACTGTGTACATATTTTATTATTTATGCATCAAATATTAAAAAAAATAGCATACATTTTGGCGAAAATAATGAATTTTTTAATTTAAATCTCGTTTACTACATTCAAAACAATAGCTACTTACCGACCAATTTATTTGTTATACAATTAATTGTTTCCGTCTAATTTTTTCTTAATGAACGAATGGCATTATGTAGATAATTTATAATTCTTGTAAAGAAATATGATACTAAATAAATCAATGCGTGACAGTATTTGATTTTAAAATAAATAAGTAGTATGCTATTTGAAAATATTTTTAAAATTTATTTAAAATATAAATCACCAGACAAATTAATTTCATTTGTAAATATTCGTGCACAATCAAAAGTAAAAAATAAATCATGATGGATTCGACAAAACAGAAAAGAATATTTTCGATATTATTGAAAATAATTTTAATATTTTATCATTTGAATGAAGTTCTACATTATTCCAAAGCAGAGGGGTAATATAAAAGAAATTTTGATTAAAATTAGAAATTCTTATTTTTAATATTTATTCAAAATATTATTTAATAAAATAGTATTGATCCGGTGACAATTGACTTAAAAGATACTGAATCAATTAAATTAATTCAACTCATACATACATGGACAAAAGATGATAATTTCAATAATTTTCTAAAGAGGCCCAAGAGAGCATATGATATAGAAAATTGGAGTAATAGACCAGATAGTGAAACTCGTAAGAAAGTAATTATAGAAGAAGTTGAAAATACAAACGACACTCCACCATCACCTATATCAACAACATCATCTTCATCAACAACACCATCTTCATCAACATCACAATCTCCAATATCACCACCGTTATGGAATTGCATGGATTGTAAGTTTTTTTTTTGTAAAAAATTTTTTGAATATTTTGTTATTTGATTTTATAACCATAATTTTGACACAGATGATGAAGACCTGAACAGTAAGAATGAAGATAGCGGAAAAGATTCAAAAAGTAAATTTTTGAGTAAAAATTTCCATATCAAGTTATTAATTTTTTCGTATATTTTCTTTTGATAAGGCAATAGCCCAAAAGGTAAAACCGGAAATGATATAGAAGGTACACAAAGTAAAAAAGGTAAAGTTTTGTTTTAAAAACCAAAATGTGTTTTAAATGAATATATCAATTTTTTTTACTAACTTTCTATTTTTTCACTTAGATGACAAAAATTTAAAAATTGAAAATAGGAATGATGTAAAAGAGCCAACAAAAGTAAGGGAGGGTAAGTTCTTTTAAAAATGTATTAAAAGTAAATACTCGCATGTTCTTTTATTATTTAATTAAGATGATGTTATACTACATAAGGAAGACACAAATGGTAATATAAAATATCCGGAAGGTATGTTTATTTTTTTGAAAACTAAAAAATGACTAGTGATTGTTAAAATACCCTAAATATTTATAATTTCTTCTATTGCATGATTTCAATAGATGAAAGTGGAAAAAATGAAGGTGACACAAAAGGTTCAAATGGTAAAGGAATCAAATCCTCTATAGAAATATAAATATAAATGTTATTTTCTAGATAACAGTCGTTTAGGTAGTATTAATAGTGTCCAACAAGAAGATACCAAAGGAAAATCGAGTGAGTTTTAGTTACCAATTAACCAAAATTTATAATTTTTTTTTTCAAATTTTTGTTTAGTTAGCAAAACTTCAATGGATGTACATGAGAGCAAGGTGGAAAAGGCAGAAGACAAAGTGAAAGAGCCAGAAGGAAAGACGATAGAGCCTGAAGACAAGGTGGCAGAGGCAGAAGACAAGGTCGAAGAGCCGAAAGGCAAAGTGAAAGTAGCTGTGGGTAAGGTAGAAGGGCCAGAGGAAAAAGTGAAAGAAGCTGAAGATAAGGTAGAAGAGCCAAAAAGCAAAGTGAATGTAGCTGAGGATAAGGTAGAAGAGCCAGAAAACAAAGTGAAAAAAGCTGAAAATAAAGTGGAAGAGCAAAAAAATAAGGCGGAAGAGCCAGAAGTTGGTAAAGAAAAAAAATCATAATTTTTTTTTACTTAAAGTTTAAAAACTTAATCTGATTTAATTCTGATATATAGGAAATGATGGGGAAAACGAGCGAAAAACTTCGAAAGGTGAAAAAGGTAAATTATGTTCATTTCTCATTTGATATTCTTTTTTTCGATTTAGGTACAGAAATTTCAAAAAGTGGAAATGGCAATAGTGTAGAGGAATCGAAACACAAGGTACAAAAAGATGATTTGAAAAACGACAAAGAAATAATAAAAGGTAAAAGTTATTGCAGACTTATTATAGGCACAATTTAAAAAACAAATATTGCTTTTCATGTCAGATGAAAATAACAAAGACACAAACAACTATAAGGACGTGAGTGAAAAGACTACTACTGTTAAGGAAGGTAATTATTTGAAAAAAAAAAATTATTAGTATACTACATTTATTATTTTTTAAAAAAGGAAATTCTGAAGATCTCTACACAGCAACTAATGACGATTCTGAGCCAGGTGATGCGAAAGACGATATTTTTATATTTATTCATTTTAATTTTTAATTAAATTTTTAATCAATGTTCATATAAATGCAGGAGATGATACAAATCATCAAAATACTAGAGATGATTCTTTAAATGGATGTGAGTAGACATATAACGAGTGAAAAAAAAAATTATAAAATATTAACATTTTGATTTTTCAATTTAAGATAAGCAGAAGCGGTCAGCGGTATATTCAATTAAATCCTTAGTGAGTGCTTTGAAAGATATGGATGAAAAAAATGCAAAATCCGAAAGTGAAACAGGTAAATTAAATTAATTATTAAAGACAAAAAAAATCTTTTGAGCTTAAGGATTAATTTTGTACTAAATAAGCTTTTTCAGAGCTTTATTATAGAATGGAACAACCGGATACTGGTTCAAAATCAGAGTCAGTTGTTAATGACGAATATAATAAAAAAGATAGCAGTAAAAAATCGGATAGTAAGTCTACCACTTATACCGAAACGATTTCTGATAAATCTCAGAAATTACCAGAAAATTTAAACACAGGCGATAATAGTACAACAACACCTGCACAAACAAATCAACAGAAAACCAGGTCAAATGAAATGAAAGGTGATAACTCGACCGTTATTAATTCCGAATCAAATGTTAAAAAAAAAAATAAGGAAGATCAATCTGTTGATAAAATTGTGAGTTTCCCAAGCAGCTCAATTTCAAATGGTAATACGGAGGCACCCGCTCAGATTAAAGACAATAAATCCAGTTTAAATAAAACATTAAGTACTGAAGAAAAAATAAATGCGGAACATGATGCTGTTAATAAAACAAAAGATACAATTTCAAACTATAATAATGAAACAGCTACACAAATCAAAAATAATCAATCTAATTTAAACCAAACATTACCTGCCAAACAAAAAGTAATTGATCCGACTTTTAAAGATTTAGAATCAAATAATTCAAACAACAAAACCAAAAATAGTTCCGAGAATCCACTTCTAAACCACAATAGCACAAAGAGCTCAAATGAGAGTGCAGTTCATAAAAATGAACATAAAAAGGAAACGGTTACTGATTCTGAATTAACTAATGCAAAATTAAATTCCGAAGAACATACAGTTGGCAAAGCAAAGAAATTACCAGAAAGCCCTCCTTTAAGTCAAGATACCTCTACGCATTCAGACTTAAATAATCATGAATCAACTTTGGATAAAACAACGAGTTCAAATAGCTCCAAGTTAAATGAAAAGTTTCAATTAAATAAAAATTCTAAAAATGAAGAGGCGGCAGTAACAATTAAAAGCCAGATCGTAAATAGAAATTCTAAATTGGAAAATAATCACATTGATGTAGCTTTGAACAAATTTACTTCTCCCAGCAATACCACTAATGTTACACAATCAATTAAAGAAACACAATATAAAAATAATACAACAGTGCAATCCGAATCTTCAAATTCCTCTTCTACAGTATTTAAAGATAAAAAATTCTCCATACATTTTACATTTCGGAATAACAAGAAATTTATACAACATTCAGATATAGATTTTTCTAAAAAACATGAGCACGTCGAAAATATTGAAATTGATCCTGCAATTAATATTAACATTAATATTGAAAGTAGGAATGATGATAACGAGAATGATGATGATGATGACGATGATGATCATGAGAATTTTAATTATTTTACACCACATGAAATATTTTTTGAAAATCATCATCCACATTTTAATGAAAATATAAGAAAAAGACCTCATTCAAATGTAATTAAAACTAATTTTGAAATGTTTTTAAAAATGTTTCCTAATTATGATATTAGAACTTTAAGAGATATGTTTATAAAAATTCTTAATGATATTATGAATGGTCATTTAGATCATTTTTATGAATCTAATCCTAAACAAAAACGAATAGAAATTCAAAGTATTTTAAGTATTATCAATGAATTTAATAAAATATTGTATAACTATTAAAAATTTTTAAGTCAAATAGAATTATTTTTGTAATTTTCATATAAATATTTGAAAAACTTTTGAAATTAACTAACATGAGCTTTAGCTTGCATTAACATTAAGCAAAAAATGTAATAAATACAAAAACTATGGCTAATTAGATAAAATATAATGTTGTTCATTAAATTTATTACATAAGGCTACTGTGCAAAAAATTGTAAAAAGACCTGAAATTGTAAAGTTTATGTAATCTAAAAATTGTTTTATTTGTGACCAACTAAACTAATTTTCTCATTTTCTAATTTTCTTAATTCGTTCACATAATCTACATAAATAGGGTATCAAATATCTTTTAAAATAAGTTAAGAAAAAATTTATGTTAATAAATAGGTTAAACTATTATCACAATGTAAATGTAATAATGAATTTTACTATGCTAATAAAAATTTCTAAACTTTTCATTAATGAATTTAATTCCATTCCTAGAATTAGAAATTACTTATGTAAAATTTTAATTAGATCACAATTATTATTTTTATTATTTATTTTTATTCATTTTTTAAAAATAGAACACAATTTTCTATTATTCTTCTATGATATAAATACCAATGTTCTTTAATTAAATTATATTAGTTTTTAAAATACGATCATAACAATGAGTTATAAGAAATTTCTTCTAGGATTTTTTATTCAAATTACTTTAGCTGATTTTCAACAATATAATAATTTAAATACAAGATATGTACAAGATCGCAATAATTATATATTACAAAATGTAAATCCAGAATTTTTAAGACAATCAAGAGATAAACGAACAATTTGTCCTGTACCACTCAATAATATTGGATTACAAAATAATGAAGGATATTCAACAAATGAATTAGAGAATTTATTTAAAAATTATAATGGAATACAATTATATGAAAATGATAATTTTTATAATAACTTTGATGATGGAAAACGTAATAAAAGAATGTTATCAACAGTTTGTATTAAAATAAGATCAAGAAAAAGATCAGATGAACCGATGCTTTTATGTAAAAATGTTCCCAAATCAAGTATAAATTCATTAAATCAATTTAATGATGGTTCATCGAAAATATTATTTGCAAAAGATTTTAAAAATGCTAATGATAATATTATGGATTATTTTGAAGAAGACAAGGATTCAAAGATATCTAATAATATTAATCATCCACCTATACCGCCCCCACAAAATCAAATTAATGGTATTAAAACTGATTATACAAATGGATATGGAAATGGAGTTGCCGGATATAAACCAGTTAAACCTTTGACTACGATTTCTCATATGAATAGTGACCAGTTTTTAAAACCAAATGATATAACATCACATTACAAGCCAACTGAGCAAAGTAAGTACATACTCGTAAACCTTTTTTTCTAATATAATTTTAATTAAGATCTTCGTTTATTTAAGGTATAAATTCTAATTCAAATACAGTGCAATCAAATAAAATCAATGGAAACTTAGCAGATACACAAAATATGAATTCACAATCTCAACAACAGTTTGGTTCAAATAAAGCAACTCCATCTTTTCCAATTTTAAGTGCTGGATATCAAGCATTAACTGATTCAAATTCAATTATTAATGACGAAAGATCAATGTATTTAAAAACAAATTCTCCTCATGACTCTGTACGGTTACCAAACGAAAATAATTTAAATGGTAATTATAATGATGCACAAAATGATAATGATTTCGTAGCGGCAATGCCACCAGATGATATTTCATCAAATTTAGAAAAACCTATTCAAGCTCTCAAATTAGTTAACAGTAGAGTTTTCAAATTCAATCAAAATATGCCAAGTTCAAATTTTAATTACATACCAAGTATGAACGGAAACATGAATGATGATGATGACCTTTATAATTCAGCGCGTAATTTTGATGAAGAAACCAATTTACCATCTATTAATTATGGTAAATTTTTTAATGAAGCTGGAAATCAAAATGTAAAGGCTAGAAATTGGTTTGCTAATTTACAAGGGAATTTTCAAGTGCATGCTACAAAACCGAATCTTGATAGATATTATAACAGTTATATACCAAATTATAATAATTATAATAATTTTGGCAGTGGTATTGGAGGTGGTTTCGGACATCACAAGTATGGTTTCAATAAATATGGTGGAAATAGGTATTGAAATTTTAATAATAAATTTAAATCCTTTAAAAACTTCTAATTATAAAATTTTTTTCCTTTACTTTTTAGTGGTTATCGGTCAGGTGATTTTTTGCCAGAAGAAAAAGGAAATTTTAAAAATGTACTATCGTATTTAAATGGAGAGCGTCCGCTAAATAGTTACAATTCATACATTCCTGTCAAACATGAACATTATCACCTTGATGGTTATAATTATATAAAACCGAGTGTTCAAAGTATTCCGAACCTTTCAATAAATAAACAAAAACCTTTACATGGATATGCGCCTTATGGCTATAATATAGAAAATATTGAACATATTGAAAATATTGGAGATGTTTCAACAAAACCTTGTTCTCAAAATGTTCTTGTAAGTTGTGAACCAATTGTTACTAGCACATATTTATCTGGATGCAATGGAAATGAAGCAACATATCACGGCAATAGCATTCAAAAGGGTCTTGTACATAATTATATAATTAATCGTGATAATGATGAAAATTCCTATATAAAAGATGATTCAAATTCTAAAAATTCTGGATTTCAGCACGATAAAAGTATGGGTGGTAATATTCATAAGCAACAGCAACATCATCAACAAGAAATCAAGCAGTATAATATTCAACATAGTAATCTAGATAATAAATTGAATGGACAACAACAACAACAGGAACACCATGATCAATACAATCAAAAGCAGCATAATGGATACTATTATGTCAAGCATGGTAATGAGGTTCATCGTCAAGAACAACAAGACAATGAACATCTTTATAATAAGCATTATCAGCAGCAACATAATGAATATCATAAACAACAACAAGAAAAACAACAAAACAATGGAATTTATACACAGGTACATCAAAGTGGTATACAAAATGGACAACAAAATTCTCATAACCATCAAAATGTTATGAAAACTATTGAAAAAGTTTATGTAACTAAAAAAATTAATGGTGATGAAACTGTTTCCAAAATAAATCCAGGCTCTTCAATTTCAACAATTTCATCAATATCTAATGTTGAAACATCAGAAAAACGTCCTATTTCAAAACAAAAAACATACATTACAACTCATACAACACAAACAACTAGGAAATCTAGTAGCAGTAGTGGAAATTCAAATGGAAAAACAAATCAAAAAAATTCCGTTTCTTCAGTTATGATGCGACCTGATATAGCAACAAGTAGCAGTACAATATCACAAACATTAGCAATACCGAACTTTAATACAACACCATTCCAAAATCGTTATTCATCGTCTTATTCTGCAATCAATGACGCAATTCAATCTGAAAAAAATAATGATTTAAAGGATAATGAAGATGATGAAAAAGACGAAGAGGATGAAAAAGGCGAAGATGATGAAAATGTCAAAGACAAAGAAAGTTCAGATAGAAAAACAAGAGTTGCAAAATCTGATGAATATTTATTTTCTAATACGGAATCTTCAACCGAGATTTTTCCTAATAAAATTACTGATAATGCTGATAATGATAAAAATTCTTCTATTGATTATGATAATGATGATGTTATTACACCGGAAGAAGAAAGAATCATTTATGAAATGCTTAAAAAGAAATTTGAGTAATATTGTATTCTATCTGTACCATTGAATAGTTTATTTCAAATAATTAAATAGTTTATTTTTTTACAAGTAAAATTTAAAACAAAATTTCAAAATAAGATTTTTTATTAATTTTCTTTTTTGATGCTTGTAATTATTGTAAGCAAAGCGTAGAATAGAAATTTTTATGAGAAAAATTAAAATAAAATGCAGAATATAATAATATTAAAATGGAGCGAATTAAGATAATTAAAAATTATATAAAATTAAATAGAATATATATCAACGCATTAAGAAGAAAATAGAGCTTTGGTTTAAAAACCGAAAAGTATGAAAAATTTTAGACATTAAATTTTATAAATCGTATTCGCTTCTTAAACACGAATTAAGTTAATAATATTTAAATATATTCCACTTAATTTGTTATCTTATTTAGTATCTGAAAAGATTTAATATTTGAAAGCTATAATCTAATTGATTAACTAGAAAACCTATAAATTTTATGGTTAATTTCTTTAATGCACAGAAAGATTAAAACTGTAAACGTATGCCATAAAATTTTCTTATGAGAAATTCTCAAATTGTAAAATATTTTATCAAAAATGCTAAAAATGCAAAATTATTTTTTATTTTCCGAGCCAAGCTGTAAAAACCTAAATAATCTATAATATATAGCAACTAACTTAATTAAAATTAATACACCATATTTTATATAAAAAAATGTCGCGAAGAAAATAATTTTATTATTATAAATTAAAAAAGAAAATCAATTTATACAAAACAATTATACATTAAAATTTAATATAAAATTATTAAAATAAAAAATATATATTTTTTTTTGTACTTAATTTCTAAACGTATTCAAAATCATCTGAATGCGATGAATGCTCTATTTGATCGTCTGATTTTTCCATATTTGATCTATAAATTTGATGATTATTTATATTTTTTGTATTTGATCTATAAATTCTAACTGGTTGTTTTTTATTCGATGGTTGAATTAATGCTGTTATCTTTGATCCTGAATAACCATGATCACCTTCTACATAACCTTTATCATAATTACTTTCATAATTAGGTGTATATTTGTGTCCATATTCATTACCATCATTATGATGACCATAAGCATTTGCACCTCTTTTTAAATTTACAACTTCATAACCATGACTTGTACCACTATAACCAACATCTTCACAAGTAAAACTATTTGGTTTTTTATAACCTCCATGATGAACATAACCTTTATCATGATATTGAACTGGTTTTGCTTTGACTGGTACCGAATATGTTGTAACATCAACTTTAGTTACTTGTGCTGTCTTTTTCGGAGGTACATATTTAGGAACTGGTTTAGGTGCTGGTTTATAACAACCCTGATTGCATCCGCCGTAATGGAGTGGTTGAATTGGTACCAAATGAATAATAGGTTTAACCGTTATCTTATTAGGTTTGTACTTGGATTTACAGTCACATTTTGATTTCGTTTTGTAACAATCACATTTTTTTGTTTTTTTACAATCACATTTCTTTGTTTTTTTACAATCACATTTCTTTTTCTTCTTACAACCACATTTTGGTTCTCTTAAAAAAAAAATGAAAAGGAGAAATATGGTAAAAATGTTTTTTCAAAATTTTCAAAATTATCTTTATTTTTTAAAATGAGTTTGTACTTACTCGTATGTGTCATAACTATAACCACAGTCGTCTTTAGGTTTTTCGCATGAGCACTTTTTACATTTTTTGCATTTTTTAAAAAATTTTTTAAAACTTTTTTTACATTTTTTTAAAAATCTTCGTTTGCGTACTAATTCTGGTCCTTGATCTTGATAATCTTCTATATTCACATATTTTACTTCAGGTATCATTGGTGCTATTTCATTAATTGGCTTTACACTACTTTTAATAGTCCTTTGTAATGCATTTTGTTCTGATGGTTTCTCAAAATATTTGTCTTCTAGATCATCAATCCATTCAAGTGTTTCAATTTTATTAATTTGAAATATAAATAGCACTAAGGCTATTTTTAATATTATTTTCGTTGATATCATTATAACTGATCCGATAATTGTAAACTATTCGGATTCAGAGAAAATTAATAACTGACCAAAATGAAGACTTGTGATTTGCTGATTAACATTTTGTTTATTATTTTTTTTTTTTTGAACATATATAAATTATATTTGCAATAATTTTAATTTTCGCAACACTTCTTTTTATAATTTAAAAATGCGTTTTATAAAATTTACATATAATAATAATATGTAAGTCAAGAACTTTCAAAAATAAATTATTAGGAAGAAATTGTTTAAGAATGAGTACAAATATTTGGTCAAAAAAATTTAATAATCGATTTTTGACTTATTAACAAATTGTTGAGATATTAATTTCAAAATTCTCTAGCATTTTGTAAGCTACGTATTAAAAAAAAAAACAAGAATGAAAATAAAGAAAACGCATTGTAAGCCAAATTTACATCGAAATAGCTATACATAAATGAAATGATGTATGAAACTTAGGATTTTAGATACATGGAATTTAATGTCCACAAGGGTGTTAAACTAAATTCACAAGTAATATGCATATTATATATATAGACTGGAAAGTAAAGAAATTGTTCGTAATTTTTATAAAATAAATCTTAAAAATCATATGAGTGAAGATCTAATGTAAATAATTTAAAGAAATCATCTCTGAATTTAGGGTTTTTCGATAACCTTATTTCGTTTATCATATTTAATGGGTTTAAAATTATTAAGTTTAAAACTTTAATTTAAAATCAGATACTAAAACCTGCGGATTTACGATATTAATTAAGTTAGATTAAAAATCAAACGAATTATCAAAATTCCAGACACTAAAAATTTGTTTGACTAAACAAAAAAAATTTTTGACCCAATTTTATATTATATTACATACATATATTTGCAAATTAAAAAAAAAATTAAAATAATAATAGGGCAAAGCCCTTTAATGCTGATTTAATAAGTTATGCTTAATTTTTATTGAATGAAGTTTTTATATATGTAGGTGCATATATACATAATAATACGTGTAATACAAGATGAGAACATAATATGAAGAAATTTATTATTTCATTAAAATAGTATTTATATATGTGTATATATGTATATTTATGTGTTGGAATATTATTTACATATGTATATAGTTAAAGGAAGTAAGCAATATTTTTATAGGTTTTTAATTTTTCTTTGATCATTTCATACAATAATGATCAATTTTATGTGCTTAATATTACAATTTTTGATTTGAATTACCAAAAACGAATACGAAACGAATCATCTGTCAACTGTCATCTGTCACCTGCCAATAAAATTTAAAAATATTTCACAATTTGAGAATACTATAATGACTAAAATTTATTGAATGTTCAAAATGTCTCAAAAGTATAATTATGGGTTCTTAAAAAATACTACTTAAAAAATACGTGCTAATTTAATTTTATAATGAAAAAAGTAAATTTTTCATAATTTACAGCAGGTGTACGCCACTTTAAATATTTTTTTTTCAAATCATCAAGGTACTCAAATTACAAACATTTGATTTCAAATACAAAAGAATTTATGTATGTTTTATATGTATGTGGGTACGTAAAAGCAATTGTTCTAGTATTTCTGGTAATGAAAAAAGTAATGAAAAGTAATGAAATGAATACATGTTTTTTGGGCACATGCCTTTTGTAAATACTATTTATGTACATATTTATTCCTTAGGTTTGGTTTGATTCATAATAATTTGTTTTTGATTTTTTTCCAAACAATTATATAGCCTAAACTTTAATTGTAAAATGAGATTTTTAAAATACACAAAAAAAAATATACTGAATTACACGAATGCAGATGGAATCGGGGTTTATTAATAAATAATGTGAATATATTCCGGTATGTGTTCGTTTGAAAGTAATATGATATTTTAGGAAAAATCATTATAATCGTTTAAAATTGTATTTTCAAAATATTCTTAGATTTGGAGAGTATAAATCTGTATAATATTTAGAACTGAAGAGCAATTACAGCTGAATTTTAAAATTATAATTTCTGAAATTTGGTCTGTTAATACTTAAATTTGGTCTGTTAATAAAAGTACAAATTTGCCCTTTTTTTGCCTTTGCATATAAGAAATCATAGGGAAGGCAGAAAAATAATTTGTGACTGATGATGTACAGGCTATAAGCTGAACTTTCATTTCAGCTTCAGTTCGGACTACTGTAACCAAGATTTAGTTAAAAATTACAGCACTTTATTATCTTTTATTACTCCAAGTAAATATTTTTTTTTTATTTTTTATAACAACATCAAAAATACGTTAAACATTGTTCTTAAAAATTTTGCATACTTTTAGGATGTAATATTTAATAATTTACGCATATTATTAAAGCTCATAATATGTACATTTACATAAAAGCAATATAATTACAATATTTGAGTGTTACCATCGTAACTCCGAAAATTCTTTTGCATTTTTATATTCTTACACTCTTAAGTATTTGGAATTCATTTATAAACAACTTTTCATTTTTAAAATTGATAATGTTAATGTTATACAGAATATAAGAGTCATAAAAAAGTGTAAAATAATGAATTTTTAATTACCTATGAAATTTGATACTATCGATTTAAAAACGAAAACATGTGCTGTGGTCAACACATAACCGACTGCAATGTACATGAATTTTAAAATTTGAACTGAAAAATTTATCAGTTAATTTGGGTAAGTCGGTTCTCACTGAAAACTAGAAATTCGAAATTTGGTACGTTGACAACTCCTTCCTTATTGTATGCAATGTGATAATAACCGTTACTTAAACTTTTATTCAACATAAAATGCATAAAAATGTATGAATATGAAAAAAATGAATATGAAAAGAAATTTGCCTGAAGCACAAAATTATGTTTATATTTATGAATAACTTTTATCCGTCAACTGACAACTGTCACCTATAAATGTCATTTGTCATCTGTCATCTGTCAAATGTCACCTGTTATGGGCCGCCAGTTCAGCTTCCG